TTTAATGTTAAGGTAAGGTCATTACTCTGGTTTTTAATAATATATACTAATTATGAAAAGTCATTTATATATACATTAATAACATTATAGAACCAATCAAGTTTCATTTATTTTACCCATTTTATCGTTAAAATCGATAAGTTGATAGGTAAAAAATAAGTTGATAACCAAAATCAGAAAGATCCTAATCGAAAAGAATGAAATTAATATTGACGCGTAATCTTAAACTAAAAATGTATGAGTTTGCTTTTGACGAATGATTTACATAAATGAAAAAACATTCAAAAACCTTTGAAATTTTTGAATTATTTATCCTCGTGATATAAGATGGATAACGATTGGGCAAGTGTAATCGTGATCATCTCTGAAAAAGATCAAATATCGAATGATATTCACCGAGAATCGATCATCAATGCGCTTCATCTTTTTTTACTGAACGGGGTGCATTATTTATTAGTCATATTGTGCCATAAGTTTGCATAAATTCGTAGAACATTTATAGTTATCATTAACCTGTAAAAAAAATGACCAATGAACTTGAGTAAATGTATTTGCGTAAGTATTTGCGTATGTACATTACCAATATGTATGTACTTACGTACTTTACATATGTAGCCAAAACTTGGAGTTTCTTTTTTTTTTCTTTTCTAAAATAATCTATTAACGATAATGTTAATTATCAAGTGCTTTTCACAGACCTTTAACGCTAAAATTTTTTAAAAAAAGACGCTTTTGTAATCTTAAAATGGCACAAGAAATTAAGGGAATAAAAAAACGCCAAAACCTTTCAAATTCGGTCACTTTTAAAAAAACCTTTGGTCGGGGTGCAAACTTAAAAACCCGATCTATGCGATAAAGGGGCCAGAATATTCCGTTAACCCCTTTTATCAGTCACACTATGACAAAAGGCGAAAACTATTTGTATTATAATTTGTATTATAAATACATATACTAATTAAATTCGCATAAGCCCGCATTATTTGATTATTTGATTATTTGAAAAAAAAAAGCGAGAAAAAAAAACTTTAATGAATTTTCAAAGAGCTCAACTATTATTTTTAACAATTATAATTTGATTTTTTTTTTCCTTTTTTTTTTTTAGACTTCTTTTTTTTTTGATTTTTTTTATGGTCTTTTTTTACCGGTCTGATTATATAAAATGCAAAATAAAAAAAATGCAATAATGATTGATATATGATGATTTTTTTTTTTACATTGATTTTGTGAATATAAAAAAATGGGGTAAAATGTGCAAAATATATAAAGTGAAAAGGACAGATAAAAAAGATGTTTGTGCTTGTAGATTTACAATGCCTGAAATGCCTATTTGAATTGGAGAAAAAATAAAAAATAAATAAAATAAAAAATTCGAAACTTGCCGAATTTTAAAATGCGAAATTAAACATGAATTAAATTTTTTTTGTTTCTTTTTGTTTTTAGTATACATCGATATTATACGATAATTATTAGATTAAATTTAGATAATAAACTACAAATAATAAGTATTATTGTATTCCATAGCATAGAAACCTAGACACTTTATTAAACTAAGGGGGTAAATAAAGTACTAGATTAAAATAAACAATCTAAGAAGCAAAAATCAATGAAACGAAACATAACCTAGAAAAGTATGGCAAACAGTGTTTTCGAAGGGCAAACAAAATACCATAGGTATTTTTTTGTTGCCTGACTCACTTTTCTGCTGAACATAAAATAAGGTTATGGTATTGCACAGTAAAGGACTTGTGCAATTAAAAAAAAAACCTCTAACAATAAAATTTTCTCTCTGAGAGGCCACGAGAGAGATAGGTTAAAAAAAAAAAAAATAGATGTATTTTTTGTGAATTTTCCAAATTTTTTTGATGTTTTTTTGATTTTTTTTTTTTTGATTTTTTTTGTGTTATAATAATAATGATCTTATTATTCGCGTCTTCATTTTGCTTCTTCTTCCATAAAATGTAATATGTATCATATGTAAATAAATGCATGGTTGAATGCAAATGTGGCATATGAATTTTTACAAATGTTGAAATGTAAAATGTTAACCTAAAAAAAAAGGAAATTAATATTAGAATATTATTATATAACTCACCAATTTTTTTTTCAAAAGAAAAAAATAAAATAAAAATAAAACAAGTAGAAATTGATTTATGAATTTATAGATTTAAGAGAGCCAAAGTTACCTTAATTTTATAAAGATGTTTTAAGCATAGAGTTATTCAAAAAAATATGCAAATGAGTGTAAGAATTTGAAAGTTTTTCTGTGATTGTGATTTGTTCGAAATTTTTTTTGTTTATGTTTGTGTTTGTTGCGAGTTACCAAAATCGAATTAAAAAAAAAACGAAATTATACGAAATATAGATTTGCCGGTGCAAATCTATCCATCATCATTTATATATACATTAATTAATAATCGAGTTTCACGAATTGTTGATTTCGGATAAACTGTTCATCAGCCGCCGAGATATAGTTAAGCGAAGCCATGTTTTCATATTGGTCAAAAGCCTCAATATAGTCACCCATATCAAGATAGTTCATGGCTTCTCCCGGCGCGGGAGGATTTGAAGAATCAAATACGCTAAAGTCAATCATGCCACCAGATGTTGTCATGGGAGTGTGTGTATTTACAAATGTTGTGGTTGCAGTGGATACAGGGCTGCCATCGAATGAGTTAGAATCATCCATGTATGAATAATCATATTTTGCCATTGAAGAATCTAAATATTGTTGAGGAGAACCACTCAACGGACTATCTGCATACAACAATTGTTGATGTTGAGGGTGTTGAATGATGTTAATGTTGTGGTTCAACATGGTGGTTGGAGTAAATATCTCTGAATTTTCCCCGTCAGTAGATATTGAGGAAACGCGCCTTGGGAAGAACGCTGAGGCGTCGATCATAGACAAATTTTGAGAAGGTAAGGTTGGTGTAGACCCTTGAGCTGATGGTGAGTCTTCACGTGGTTGAATTCTGCGCTTTCTTTCTTGGGGTCTTCGTGGTCTGTATCTATACTCAGGATATTTTTTCATATGTTCCTGTTTGGCAGCATCAGCCATTTTCTGGAACTTAGAACGAACCTCTTGAGGTTCGTCATGCCACATTCTACCGATTTCCTTTGATACTTCATTGTTAGTAATTCCTTGATTTTTAGCAACTATTCCAGGTTGCTTCGCTCTTCTATAAAGGATAAAAGCGTTTGGGGGTCTTGGAGGCTTTTTAATTTTAGTTTTCGAGTTAGTAGAAGTGGTTTTTGGAGTAGGACCAGCAACACCACATGGAAGAGCGAAAGAAGGTAGTCGAACGTCAGTATCAGGAAGCATCCTTGGAACGTTAGGAGCAGCAGATACTGGTTTCGCATTTTCCAATAAATTTGTTACGGATGTGGCTTTAGCATCATTAGGAACTAAAACAGGTTCGAAACCTTCAGGAATAAAATATAAGGTGCCTTTGTTTTGTTCGTATAGGTCCTGAACCCTATCATATGATAGATACTCAAAACTTGGAACTGGGTTACCACCCTTTGAAGTTTTGTATTGAGGTTGTGGTAGTTGTGGAATAAAGTTCTCCTGATCACAACCGGTCGCCACGTTATTTGAAGACATCGAAGCGCTAACGTTACTAAGATTCTCGCTGCTTTTATTGATATTTTCTTTACGGGGAGAAGTTGGAACTGTAACCGAGAGTTGTCTGTTTTCTGTGAATAACTGCTGCGGATGCCTAGCAGAACACTCTGACATTTAACCTCAGCAAAAAAATGGTAAAAAAAATATTCAAGCTGTCAAGAAGATAAACAAGACACCAGGTCGGTGGGAAAAATAGTATAAAAACTTATTCAAAGAATGACACTTGAAATAAAAACAGCGGATTTTTAGTAATATATTTTCCTATATATATATATATCGTTAATAGGTAAAATATATATATAGAATAAAATAGGTCTATGATGAAGGTCAAAAAAAACGCAACAGTTGGGGGAGAAAGGAAAAAAGCTACAGTAATATATGAAATTTATCGGTTATAAACAACTTATTTAAACAACTTATTTTTAACTTTAAAAATATATAAGTAAATACAGTATATGCTTATCTAGTGTAAAAAACCTGATTTCTCGTGCCACGTTTCTCCGCGGTTCGGTGTCTCACAGCCTCTGTAAAGTTTCAGATAAGCGATCAAATAATATATTTCAGCTCGGAAAGGTCTTTCACATGTACTACTATCATATATGCACACGCTAGTTATTACAATTAATTAGGCGGGATCAACATTAAATCCAGAAAACTTCAACAAGTTTATTCAACAAGTTTATTTTAGAAGTTTTAATAACATAACTTTTATATAAAAATAAAAATAAAAATAAAAAAAATATATCTGATATATAAAATAAATTTATACGTATTAATTATACATTGCCACAAAAGCCACAGTTCATCGATGTTCTAAAGAGTATAAAAATACGGAATCTTGTGAAAATAGTATGATAATGAAAAATGAGGAAAGAAAAAAAATTTTTTTTTTTTTAATATAATTTTTTTAATATAATTCGTTGTTCTCCGAACAGACAGTTGTACCTGTGTCACGACCGGTTTGCGCTCTTGTTACCTTTGACCAGATCCCTTTGATGTGGGAGTTCTTTATCCTTGCTGGCCAGTTGACATATTTTACCCCCCAAAATGTTGCCCTAAATTACCCCACAAATTATGTTCGTACATCTCGAAAAGTCTCTCAATGTCTTCTAAGGATAACAAAATAGTTAATGATGCTATGCGGCAAAATGCCAATCCATTAATTAATGCAGTAAATGCTATCTATATGCAGCGGCTTGATAGTTAATGTTAACGTTAGTTGTAATAATGCAGATCTAGCTGTCGGCGATATGTATGTTAGAATAGCCGATAGAATTATAGAAAATACTGAAATCATAGAAATCACAAACAAATTCCATAAAACGTAGTCGTCATATCACGTGCCCGGCATTATTGTTACGCAATAAGACTAGTTAATTTTTAAGCCATTGCATCACCCGAGCCTGTAATCAATTTATAATTTTTAAAAACTATAAATCCGAATTTGTTTGTATTTATCAGCCGACTTGACTCACAACATAGACCCGCCATACCCGAGCCCAAGATTTGTAATGAAAATCGCCACATGGCCACACTTTAATTTTTTTTCCTTGTTTCCGAAAAATCCTTTTGAATCAATGAAAATGACATAATCCTTGTCATCGGCGACAACGATTTTGCTGTATAAAATTTCTGCGTTATGCATGTAGTGACATCTTTCATTTTTGACCGTTTTTTTTAATGGTCGTGATAATACAAGGTCTTCGCCACAAAATATCAGTTTGACATTTCGATTGCATGTGTATAACCTTTTTTATGGTCAGTAATATCCTTTTTTTTATTAATCAACCAATAGTGTTCTCTATTTTAAGGGCTGACCAACACCATATAAAAGGCTCTAATATCGAAATGGAAATCTATAAATAACTATGGGAAGATCCGGTCTTAATTGGGTTTATAGTAATGTTGATATAAGGAAACAAACAAGGAATGTAAAATTTGCACCAGTTAGGTGAAAGCTTGTGTCATGTTTATCAAGTTATTACCTGTCATTCCGTCAAGCAAACTTAAATGACTCAATGGCTCATATATTAGTTAATCCCATGATCTCTCACGTATATATAAGTAGATGTATATATTTATATACGTATAAGTATATAGATATATATAAAATATATATATATAAGTATATATATATAGATATAAGTAGATATATAGATATATAGATATATAGATCTATAGATATATAGATATATAGATATAGAGGTATATAAATAGTCACCTACATACCTACCTACCTTCCTACCTACCTTCCTACCTACCTATCTTCCTATCTATCTTCCTATCTATTTTCCTATCTATCTTCCTGTCTACTTACTTTACCCACCCATCTACCTACCTATTTATTAACTATTTATATACCTTGCATTGTCTTTATCGCCATTATCGTCATGGTAAATATTTTAAAATTATCCAGTGTTAATTGCATTCTTTGATCAGACGTCAAACGATTTTTACTTTATTATAAGTTACACTAAAACTTTAATTGAAAACCTTATTTGATATCAAGTGTAATAAGTGTAATTTTTTTTATATAAATTATCGATAACGACATCGTTATTAGTTATATTAATTTACGTATTAAATTTCTGCATTACATTCCGTTTCCCCTTATCAAGATACATGTATTCTTGATTTATAAATTCCCTAATCCCTATTTTATATAATCCGTAATGTGTACTTTCTTGTATTAAAATAAACGCACAAAATTTTTGCCTTTATTACGTATCCCTCTTTATGTGTAATCTCTCCATTATTACGTCTTAGAAAACATGGATTCTATTCGTTGTATTTAGAACGGCTGAACTTTTACCTTCATATTTATATATTTTTTTAAAGAAATTCAGACGTTGTCAAATGTCAACTGGTCTTTTTTGGTGAAATTTTTTTTTAAAAATTAGTTGGCGTCATTATCTTATTTTGACTTATTTGCTAATTGTTTTTGGAAAAAAACGAAATATGTAGTATATTTAAATAAATGGATTTTTGTCTATTTAATTTTCGTCATGCAGAATTATATATCTTATACGTACGTACTAGCTTGGTCTCCGTCTATAAATAGTAAAAAGATGTTAATTAAAATTGCTTATATTTGTTATTTAAACAAAAAAGTATATAAATTCTTTGCTTTTTACAAAATATACTGCATTTTACTATTTGATTTACTATATATATAAAAATATACTGTATACTGTATTGTATAACTTATTTGATTTAAATTAAACTTTATTGTATTTTTATCTAATTTAATTTTTAATTAATTTAATTTAATAAGCTACTATTATTTATATTACTATATATAGTTGTTAATATAAAAACATATATTTATATAATATTAAAATATATTGGTAATTCAGTATATAAAATTATATATTTAAAACTTTTATATATTAATAAACATATTATATAAAAAATTAGTTTAATAATACTGTAGTTAGATTCAATACAGTATATAAAGCAAACTATAGCACCTTTTATAGTTATAAAAACCAAGTTTAAAATAACAGCATTTTTGCAAAAAATAATTTATTTAAATTATTATTAATATTATTAAATTTTTGTAATTAAATATTTGCTATAACAAATTTTTTATATTACTATTTGCTTTTACTGTCAAGATTTTAAACAAAACTTATTTTATCTATATTTACAACAATATATAGTAATTTTTTTTAATTTTTAATAATCTTGCTAATAATTTTTATTAAAATTATCATATATTATAAAAATTTTTATATAATTTTGAGCTTAATATTTAAATTTAATATTTTTACTACTTTGTTTACTAAAAAGATTTACAATTATTTTAATAAACAATCTGTGAAATATTTAAACAAAATTTTTTTTTATATATAAATTTTTACTATAAATCTAAATATGCAGCAACCTATCTAAAACTTTTTTTTACTAATGAATCACTCTTGAGCTTTTAACAAAAATTGTAGAGCTTATTAAAATACATTTAGTGAAAGAATATTAAAATTGATTTGGTAGTTCTTGAAAATCTTTAAAAAATCTTTTATTAATATATAAAATTTTTTTTAAAAAAATTAATTTTTTTAAAAAAATTTTATATATCAATAAAAGTTTTTAAAGATTTCTTAAGAACTATTAGTCAATTTAATATTCTTCTACTATTAAATGCATCTTGATAAGCTCTACAACTTTTATTAGAAGTCCAAAAGTGATTTATTTAGTAAAAAAAGTTTTAAATAGGAGTGCTGCACATTTAGGCTTATAGTAAAATATATACAGTATACAGTATACAAAAAAATTTTTATTTAAGTATTTTGCAAATTATTTATTAAATTATTTTTTAATATAATTAGACCATTGTAATATAACAAATTAGACCTTTGATTAACAAGTTACTTTACTTAACTAAGCATTTAAATAGTTAAGAAATGTGTTTATAATATTTTATAAAAGAAAATAGTTTATAATTAAGATAAAATATTGTTGACTTATTGCTATAGTGACATTCATTAAAAAAGGTTATAACTAACAAAAATTATAGACAAAAGATAGATTTATTAACTTAGTAATACTTAATAGAATAATACAAGTAAAATAAATATATAATTTAAGAAAAATAACTTAAATTTCAAGCAAATATTATAGAAAAAGGTCTTATTTTCAACATAAAAATACTAAAAATAGGACTAATTCCTAATACAAATTTATAATAAAAATAAAGATAAAACTTATTCCCAAGACTAAAATATGTAATTATAAGGTTATAATAACTAAAATATAGAAAACAATTGTTCTTTTGCCTTGAAGAAAGTGGCAGAGTTTATATATAGTATTTTTTCTAATACTATAATACTATAAGATAATATTAAGCAACAATATTACAAATTATTGTAATAATGAAATAACTATTGTAATAATAATATAAATTATTGTAATAATGAAATGTACTACTATTTAAGTCATTATTCAATAATAAAATTAAAAATAATTATAATGAAATTATTCTACAATGAAATATTATTTTACAATGATAATATTACATATTCTATAATAAATATTATATATAATACTATACAAATAATAATAATACTACTATTTCTAAGATTAGTAATATAGCCAAATAATTAATAATTCATTAT